ATAAAGTAAAAAAAATTTCCCCCCCCCCCCCCCCAATATTTCCTTCCAGTGACTCATCCTATAAAGAGTATGGTTAAATATTATTGCAGAAATTGCTGTTGCTGTTTTCATCTTAATGAACATCACAAAGGCAGGGTTGGGGCTATATTGCTGGCCCTCCGATTCTCTCTAAGAACCCATTCCAGTTGTAAGGCATGGGTGAGTGTTCGGTGGTGGTGCTTCAGACCACTTGTTTTACTGTCTTTGTCACATGCGTGAAAGGTTTGCTATAAAATCATCCTCTGGAGTAAGATTAAAAGTATGCCCAAAAATGCCCAGTCTTTGTTCTCACCAGTGTAATCAGCAGAGCTCTGGCATATATAAAAGCCGTAGAAAATTGACTTATAACTCAGACTTCTTTTTAGGAGTTGAATATTTGGCATACACAGGAGACTAACAGCAAGAGCATAATCTTAAAAAGGTTGTAAATAAATACTTGGCAAACTGTGGTCTAGTGCTTTAGCTTTGTGTTTGTAGAAGTTGCTTCAAACTGTAATGTCTCCGAGAGTTGTGCTTAATTAACAGTTTGTTGCTGAAAACTGGATGGAGGGATGACAAGGGGATAGCAGTGGGAGGAACGGGTTCTTGGTTGCTTTTTTTACTGTCAAGGGTTAATACAGGGAAAGTTGATTGTTTATTCAGCCCATGCCACATTGCAGAACGCTAACCTGAAGTCTGGGAACCTAGCCTTGTTTCTTTTCCTCCTTTCTTTTTTTTTTTTTTTTAAACTTTTCCTGCAGAATCTGAATTTTCAGTACCTGAAAGATGGAGTTTTAGCTTTGTTTATTTAAGCCAATACTAATCTTAAAAGGTCAAAATCTCATCCCTGCTGGCTGGACTGAACGTTTGTTTTCCTCAAATTGTTTAGTTAGGCTAGCAAGTGATCTCTGAAGTAAATGCATAAACAAAACTGACCAACTTGATAAAGTCTTGCTAATTTTCATGTCTTTAGATTCAATCCTATCTTGCTGTTTAAGTGAAAGCTTTTCAGATATCTTCATTGATGTATGGTGAATAACACAGGCCTTTTTCCTTTCCTCCAGCTGCCAATATTATCATCCAGACTGAACCTCCCATTCCCATTACAAACAATAGCAGCAATGTAACTAGAGTTGTCCTTGAACCAGACAGCAGGAAAAGATCTCCAAGTAGCATGGAATGTCCACCATTAAAGAAACCGTGGCTGGGAAAGTAAGAATTAACAACTGCAGTTGACTAGTTGGAATGCATTTTATTGCTGTCAACGCTGTGAATATCGCTATTCACTAGTCCCTGTAATTTGAGCTGGTTGGGTCAGAAAATCTGTGTCCACATGATACGGAGACTAAATTTCATGGTGGGAGGAGCTCTCTTCTGTTAATGTCTAGAGTGTGTACTTTTTATGAGAAAAATAGAAGTTAAATGCGCGGTAACATTTTCTGCCTTACTTAAGTATACGCACACCTGTCTAAATTACTATCTTGTTCTCATTTTCTCTAGGCAAGCAAATAACAACCAGAATAAGCCAGGATTTTTGAAAAAGAATCAGTATACTAATACAAAATTAGAAGTTCGAAAAATTCCACCAGAATTGAACAATATTACACAGCTCAATGAACATTTCAGCAAATTTGGAACTATTGTAAACATTCAGGTAAAAAAAAAAAAGTTCACTTTTATGCCTGTATGTGGGTATTTTATTTTCCCTGAAGCCTTCTTGAATACTGCAGCTGAACTACATTCCTTGAGAAATCTTAATGGAGGCTAACTGGGAGAGTAGGTAATCAAATTCAAAGAAACCTTTTCTTGGACTACTCTGTATTATTATCTTAATTCTGTAAAAGTGTGTTGACTTCTGCTTTCACAAGGCCTTACTAAATTTGAAAGGCTTGCAGGTTTAACAGTATCTAAACCAACTCAGGTTTTTGAGCAACTTGTGTGTAATTTTTGAAAGAGATCTTCTAACAATTTTTGTCTTGTGTGATAGTTGTACAGTATTTCCTGTAGCATCTTTGTCAAAATCCTGACTATGAGAGTCATATGCATCAGTTTATTACTACTTTGCATCCTAGAACTGACTCCAGTTCAGTGGCGTTCCTTGCACTGTAAGAAGGGGAAAAGCACTATATAAGCAAAACACAGGTAGTTACATGGTTAAAATAGCATTTAATTTCCATTTATTTTTCTAGACAAAACAGTTGCCTGTTAAGTCCTCGGCTAGAGGTCTAAATAAAAGACAGATACCTGTGAAGCCTCCGTATTTCTTGAGTTGATAATTTTATGTCTTAGCCCAAAAGATATTGTGGTGCTTTCTGCACCTCGATAGTGAAATAATGCATTCAAAACATGCTATCTTGATCATTATACTAGAAAGTCCAAGATACATTTTTATTCCTGTGATTAATTTTTAGAGAAAAATAGTCTTATTCAAGACTGTTAGATAATGCTTCTTTGAGAACGTGGTGAACCTTTGCATCGTACATCCTCAGACAGCAGTCGTCTTTCAGGAGGTTAGGATAAAGAGCTTTTGAGTCAGCGCTAGGGTCTCTTCAGTCATACCCCAGTGGCAGTTCACAGTGCTCTGAATATGTGATGCTGTTTGGTGGAGGAGTCTTTATTTTATTTTACTGTATATAGGCTTTGCTGCAAGTACATGTAAGATTTGCCAAAAGGTACTTGGCTTTAATTACATACAAAGTTTTACCCGTGTTTTGAGATGTTAGTATGTTTGGGTATCCCACTCATTATTGCAGACTATTTGTAGATCGGTTTGCTACTGATTGAGATGTTTTCCTTCAGAAATAATGCATTCTAATGAACTTTTGATTTAGGTTGCTTTCCAGAATGATCCTGAAGCTGCTCTAATTCAATACTTAACTAACGACGAGGCTAGGAAGGCAATTTCCAGCACAGAGGCAGTTCTGAACAATCGGTTTATAAGGGTACTGTGGCACAGAGAAAGTGAACAGCAGCCCCCACTGCTGCAGCAACAGCAGCAGCAGACACCCACACAGTCTCTTCATCACCAACTTCACCTTCAGCAGCAAGCCCTGGCCACAAGTCCAGCTGTAACAATGCATAGCAACCTGTCAAAGGTATTGTGCCGTTGCAAACTGCTGATTGAGCGGTGAAGGTTATCAGCGTTCCTAAATGACTGCTACTTCAAAAAAGCAGAGTATGTAATCTCTCATTTTTTAATATCTGTTGACACACAGGTGATGAATAAACCACTGGCATCTGGTGCCTATGTCCTTAATAAAGTCCCAGTGAAACGTCGCCTTGGAGCAGCGGGTGGAAACCAGCCTGACTTGAGCCAGCCTGGGGCTGTGGTAGAGGATTCTCAGGTATGTGTATGCAGGCTGACCATCTCATACTTTCAGTTAAAGCTTCGGCCTGTTAGCTAAGAAGGAACTAGCAAATAGAACTTGCAAATTGTTCCCACTCAGTTCTGTTTCTTTTCACTAATGTTCCATGCAACCATGGTCAGTCACTTCTTCCTAGTTTCATTACCTGTTTCTATAAAATAGGAACGATGACTGCAGAAACAAAGTATCGGTATTCTAAGTAGCATAAAATATTTTTGGCAGTGCTTCATATTAAACAAATCTGACAGCATATATGTGATGTCAGCTTTTTGCTGGCGAATCTAATCGCTTTCCCAGTGATTTTTGAGCTTATGTTGTGCTTTAACAGTAGTGCTAGAAGCTTATGTGTAGAGTTCAAGCTGATACAGTTTAATTCGCACCGATACCGTAGTGCAGCATGTGTTCTTGGCCACAGAGGAGTCCTTTTAAGAAAGCAAGTATGCAAGTGACTTTGCTGCCTTATTTGATCAGAAAGTGTGATGTTAGACTATGACTGTGAAGCTGAATATAATGCAGATGCAGAAGTTCAGCTTCAGTGCTCTTCCTAGTGGATATCAGGATACAGAGGGAGTTTTGGATGAAGGAGGAAAGAAAGTACCTTTTGCAGAAATCCTTTTAATGAGGATTTAAGCTGATTGCTTCGAAGCAAGCTGACTGTTAGACCAATGCCTTTGTGCATGTGCTTTAATTGCCTTGGTCTTTTTGTCCCATTGCACAAATCTGAAAGTTTGTGTTCATGTTTCACAGAATACATTCCTCTAAAATTCATTGATGGTATATCACATTCCCTTTAAGCTATTACATATTTTTGTGTGTGTGTGTTTACTTTTTCAGACATTTCCTACTTCTACAAGCCACTCAAAAATGGTTTACAGCTCTTCAAACTTAAAGACATCTATGAAGCCTGGTGCAGGGTCTAAACCTCACGATATGCAAGAAGCCCTTAAAAAAAAACAGGTACTTTACTGCTCATTGGCTGACTGACAGTATAGCGATCAAAGTACTTTATAAAGAAAGATCTGATAGGCAACTTAAACCTCAAGTATTGCTGTATAGCTTTCTACATTAGTGTAGCTTTTGTCGTTATCGGACTGTCTCGCAAATGCATGTTGAGGTTAATCATGAGTAAGGGAGTATTCCTTTTGAGGTGTCTTACATGACACATGTGGTTGTGTGTGGGTTTTCTTGAGGCGTTTCTCTGATTTTAATCCCTGCAGGTATGAGACACTTAAATGACAACGTAGGATATGTTTCTTAAGAGGTGTCTAAAGGGGGCAAAAAATTTAGTAGAGTACTTCACAGCAGGAAGTTAGCAACTTTTTTTTTTTTTGTCAGATCAGGTATACTTTCTACTTGTGCGTTTGCAGAGTAGTTTTTCATTACGGCCTTCACTTCTATAGCTTGAAGAAGAAAATACAGTATATAGGAGTATGTGTAATGCTAGACTGCTTTTTACTGATTGAAAGAATTTTCTTCTCATATAGGAGGCAATGAAACTCCAACAAGACATGAGGAAAAAGAGGCAGGAGATGTTAGAAAAACAAATAGAATGCCAGAAGGTAAGTCTAGAATGTCTTCTGGTAAATACGTTCTGATTTTGTAGATACCTGTCTGTTCAGTGTTATTTTTCCTGGAATTTTATATCCTTGCTCTTTTGTTAATATGTAGATGTTGATATCCAAGCTGGAGAAAAATAAGGCCATGAAACCAGAGGAGAGAGCAGAAATAATGAAGACCTTAAAAGAACTAGCAGGAAAAATATCTCAGTTAAAGGATGAATTAAAAACTTCATCTACAACCTCTACACCATCAAAATTGAAGTCCAAGACAGAGGTATTTATTGCACAAAACATTTGCCCGCCTCTATTTTGTAACTATTTCTAATATTATGTCCTAAAACTGCAGCACCATTAGATCAAAACGCTTCCAAGCAGTATTTTGAATTTGAGAGACAGAACCATGGACAAGCAAGCTATGGTTTTAAGGAACGTGGATGACCTAGTTTTGCATGTAGCTCATTCAAGCTTGTTCCAATTCTGAAGCAGAGAATTCTGGGTCCTTCAAAAAATGGGTTGGGGAGGGGCATGGAGGCAAATAAACTGAATTTAGAGGAAAGTTTGGATATTGTGTACTGATCTGCCTATATCATTTACATAAATGTATAGCTGAAAAAGTGGAATAAATCATTGAAAGCACGCATTACAGTTCTGCTTTTCCCTTCCATTTTCTATTTCTGCACCTTTTTCTCTAAGGCACAAAAGGAACTTCTGGATGCAGAGCTGGACTTTCATAAGAGACTGTCTTCTGGAGAAGACACAACTGAACTGCGAAAAAAGCTAAATCAGTTACAAGTAGAGGTGAGTTTGTCTGGGTTGATGCTTTTCGTGTATTTATGATATATAAATGTTTTAAATCCTTTCAAACTGAGGATGGCTTTGTATGTTTTTGCCTTCTTTAAACAGGCTGCCCGTTTAGGCATTTTGCCTGTTGGTCGAGGAAAGACAGTACCAGCCCAAGGAAGAGGACGGGGACGGGGTCGTGGTGGGAGAGGAAGGGGCATGTTGAATCATATGGTGGTGGATCATCGTCCCAAAGCACTAACAGTTGGAGGCTTCATTGAGGAGGAAAAAGATGAATTGTTACAGCACTTCTCTGTAAGTATAAGGTCACATTGGGTTTGTTTTTTTTTTTTTTTTCTAAAGGGGAGAATTGTGGCCAAACTATAAATCTGAGATTAAGTAGGTAACCAATAGCCTGGATGTGTGCTTACTTGCAGAGAGGCATGCTAAGGACTTTGTAAATAACTGTTTCTTTTCCAAATTCTTGAAGGCTCAAGTCTCTTTAATTTGTTTGCACTAACAGAAAGAAAGACCTTACCCTAAATGCATGGAACAGGCTATGGATAAGCAGTTTCAAGAGTTCTCAAGCGTGTAAATGTAACGTCTTTTATAGCTGCTTTACAATAGCTGCCCAGTGCATTCTTTTAATGAGCAAAGCTAAATAGCTTACTCTTATTAATTCCATATTAGTTTAAAACAGACGTTAGAAGGCTGAAAAATACCTATCGGCCTCTCTCTGTTTACAAATTATTTTTCAGATTAGCAATTCATACCATTTATCTTGTTCCTCTCTATCTCAAGAAGCAAAGCACTGTTTTGCTGAACAGGACATCCATTTCAAAGCAGTTAAATTTGTTTATGAACCCATGGTAGAACAAGTAGCTTGCTAGTTTGCAAGCTCAGTTAATGGATGTTTTAGCATCATAACTAAGTCAACATAATAAAGGAAAAGCTGATTTTACATTTCCCTCAGTTACTCTTTCCAGAATGAAATATTTTCATGTGCAAAGCTAGTAAACTTCTCAGAGAGATCGTGTAATACTTCATAAATAGACTCAGCGTGAAATCTAAGCTTGATCAAGCCAGTTTGGTATTTCTGGAGGCTCTTGCAGAGCAAGTGACTGATATGGAAAACGAATGTTGTAGAATCCTACTCTTCTAGAGCTGGATACAGACAAGCAGTAGAGTTCTTGAGAGAACTGGTAATCTGAAAACTTGTTTGTTTCTTGAGTAGGAACAGAGAACTTTACAGTTCTTCATACAGTGGGGTAGGCTTTGCTCTTTGGGGAACTGTTACTCTCGGCTTTGGCCTCATTGCTTATCAAAAGGCTAGAGGCCACTACTACCGCTTTGATTAGGTAAATTCAGTGAAAAATTTTGTGTGGTTTGATCAAAAAAACCAACCTGCTTTATGGTATGATAACAGTGCCATGAATCCTGGGAAGAGTCCTAAGAGGGGACCAGATCTTTTTAAAAAAGATCTTTGCTTTAATTCTGTTTCTGAGAGAGTTCATGTTTTTGAAAGTTTTAGCCATCCTTAGCTGCTAAAACCAGTAACAGTTTTTACAAACAACTAGTGCTGTTACTAAAGCCGTTCTCTTACTGGCTTTTAAACTACTTTTCTTCTGCTATTCGTATTAAATGTGAAGTTGACTACAATTTTCTTTTGTGCTACTTGTACTCCATGCATAAATCCTTTTTTTCTGTTTGTTTTGTTTGGCGGTGGTTGGGTTTTTTGTTTTTTGGGTTTTGGGGGTTTTTTTACTATTTAACTCTCATCCTTGTGGTCATTCCAATTTTCACCATTGTGCAGTATATAAATTCTAAAAATGCAAACTGCTTGTTAATCTAGCCATACTAGATTATATTTTTTCCTCCTCCTAGTAGAATACTTACAGAACATATTCAGGAGCTCTATAGCCAAGTTTGATTTCTATTACTGAAGTCTCTTTTGCAAATTAATGAGCTCTAAAGGACTTGCTTAACAGGTCTGAAGTAGTACAACAATGCAGGGCAGAAGAGAATAAGGGAAACGGCGAATTCAAAGAATTCACTTCTGAGCTATAAATTAATATACTTATTTCCTTTCTTCCTGCAAAATTAAGCTCCACTTATTAGAATAAGAATAAATCTGAGCTTTTGCCCAAAAATCCAGGTACAAATGCTGCAATATTGCTGGATGATGCAGCTGAGGTTTCTCTGGCTCTCACTTTTCTGTCCAAAAAATAAGGTTTCAGTGGCACTTCAGTACACTGCAGTTGTAGCACATGACAATTGTGGTTTTTGGAGGAGAATATTACTACAGTTCCTAATCGATTTTTTTCTCCCGTAGAAATTTGGAGATATTGAAGACCTTCAAGAGGAGGATTCCCCATTAAGTGTTGTTCTAACTTTTAAATCTCGCTCAGAAGCTGAGAATGTAAGTAGAATAATGGATTTTTTTTTTCACGTTTCTAATATAAGAATTTTTAACTTCTTGTGTCTTGTGTCCACCTTTGTATTTTAAAGTTTAGCAGGCTTTGATCCCACTAGTTTGAGCTAGGTAGTGTGGGTAGTTGTTGCTATTGCATATAGTGTCACTAAAGGGGGAAATACCTCCTGTTTACCTTAAGAATAACATAGGTCTTTTGCTGATAAGGGTTCGATGTCACGATCAATTCCGAGCCCTCTCAGTCTCTTCAGATTACTGGTAGATGAGCGTTATTTAGAAGATTCAGGTTTGAGTGAAGTTGCTCTCGAAAGACTGAAGTGGATGATTGTGGTTTATACGTTTGAGATCTTCAGATGTGCATCTGTATGATGTTCACTGGGTCTAGCTCACTGCTGGCGACCTGAAAAAGTCTTTACTTGATCCTCTTTTTGAAAATACATTCATTTAAAATATAATCTAGGCTGCTAACCAAGGATCCCGGTTCAAAGACCGAAGGCTACAGATATCATGGTACAAACCGAAGGTACCTTCTGTGTCCACAGAAATTGAGGAAGAGGAGTCTAAGGAAGAGGTATGAAACTATGTTAATAACCTAATTGCTCTTCTTGGAATCTAATAGCTAAGAGCTCTTTTAGGATACAGTTTTCTGTTTACTGAAGAAATTTCGTAAAAGATGTTTTTGCAAACCAGAAACTTAACTGGTTTTGAATATTCAGGTATGTTTTCCACATTTTAAGAAAGGGAAAAGGGGGAAAAAAAAAAGAAAACCCCAAAACTTTCTGGATGGGATGTTGATTTGTCAACTGTGAAAATAAACTTCACATTCTCTATGTGCAGGCTGCTAATCTTTTTACTTCACGGTATTAATGCTCCGCTGTAGGATAAGTTACATATATTCTTTCCTGTAATTATGAACACATTGAGCTTTAAAGGTTTTTTTGTCTAGGCATTTAACAGAAAACTGTTGTTTCAGAGGGGGTGGGTGGTTGTTTTTGCTGCCTTTGAAGTTAGGCTTTACTTTCTTGATGTGTGAAGCTACTGTTCTTCCCGTAAAACTTGTTGAACGTAATTGTGTGCATTTCAGCGAGACATAAGGTAAAAAAGAACCTGATATAAAGTACAACTGATGCTGTGTTGCATGGCATGTTTCCTATGATACAGCATGGAACTTTTTTGTTTATAAGTATGGTTTTTCTTCATCTAGGAGACTGAAACCTCAGATTTATTTTTGCACGAAGATGATGATGATGATGACGAAGATGAGGATGAATCCCGTTCTTGGAGAAGATGAAACTTGATGTTGGAAATGTATACTTTTAGGAATATAGTTCAAGCTACATCTTTTAAACATTTATTTAAGGAAGTTGATGAGCCAAAAAAAGCTTTACTTTCTTTTCAAACCACAAGATTTAAAGTGAGCAAAGTTTGTTATAAAAACATTTCGGATATAGAGCTGTGATACTAAGCTAGCCAAAGGCCCAGTAACTTTTTACATAATTATCAAGCTCACCAGGGTGGTGATTTTTTTCTATTTAAGAAGGATAAAAAGGGGGGTGGGGGGGAATATTAGTATTTTCTTGTCCTCTTTTTGTGTCACCTGTATTACCTTGTTTTGGGTTTTTTATAATGTGATTGATTTGTTAGTTTATAATTGAAAAGATATTACAGGTTTTATTTAGCAATATTACGGGGTTAGGGGAAAGATGCAAATTTCATTAAATGATATGAAAGAAAAAATGGCTTCATTTGCTAATTGAAAAAGGGTAGCATTTTATTTCATATGGAATCACTTATTGTAGGAATTATTTGTGGCTAGATTCATAAATCATTATTTCAATACGTTTGAAAGCCACACAGTTTCTATGTTCTGCTTTTTGTGAGAGGAGATGGAAGAAGCAATTTAACAGGGTATTATTATCATATGTCTAGTTCACTCTGTTTCTTCAAATTCCGCTTCACAGAAAACATCAGCAATGACACACATTTGAGTGAACTTTCATTCACCGTTGATTTCCTTCTGTAGTTTCAGTATAAGGTTCAAGTTTAAGTTAGGCTGTTTGTTTATTGCATTTCAGTATTTGTGAGCATGAATGTAATGAGTTTCATATTTTCTCAAAAAGAAAAAACAACTAAACTGGCAACTGCCTACCAGCCAGTAGAAACTCTTCCTCCTCTCCCTGTTACCAACTGTTTGTGTCCAAACCAAGTCCGTGAAGCGTTCGGAGCAAAATGCTTTTTAGCCAACAGAATGTCAGTGTCGTGCTCAAAGACTGGTGTTAAACCAGTGCTTTAAGTGGTAAGTCTTCAGAGGAGCGTTCAGAGCTGCGTTTGGAAGGCTTTTAATTTATCTCCAAGCATAGTTTTGTTCAGGCACATTTAAGATGAACACCATTACGTTCTCGGTTGCCTTATTGTTGTACCACTTTAAAAATACACACACCCCCCGCCCCCGAAATGGTGTGTATTGTGATAGAAATGAGGATAACAAGTTCAGATACTTGAGCCACGTATCTTGACTGTTACACAGCTCTTGCGGTTCATGAACACGTTATCTAGTAAGCATTTTGCTTGACTGTCCATTTGTACCGTACACTTTTCAGTACATTTTATGTACGTTTCTATACAAAATAAACAGAATGTCGGTGCAAAAATGCTCTCCTCTTTTGAATAATTAGCTTACCTTATATTTCCCAGCAAGTTCCCGACTGAAGAAAAATATACATCAAAACCTTTAAATTGCAACGGCTCTGAACGTGGCTAGTGAGATGGAGTTGAGCATGCCTTTGGGTTAACAGTGCCCCTAACTTTGTTACCCTGCTGCCGTGGTGCTGTGTCAGAAGTCAGAGCAGTATCATTTTCTGTCTTCTTGTCAGTTGAAGGGAATATGTCTGTCAGTATTCTGTCTCTTCACATTGAATCCTCACCTCTTTGTGTAATTAGGACTTTCCTGCTAATACTGAGGCTAAATTACAGATGTGAAGAAACGAGGGGAAACCAATCCTGCATACTTAGAAGAATGTCTTGCTCTTCTCCCATCATCTCTAATGGGTTTTTTAAAGTCTGTGGCTCAGTCAGTGTATATTTTGAAAAATCCATTGCAGCGAACATATTTGAGTCCTGACAGTTTAAAAAATGATAGAGGGAACAAAAGGATTTATATATTTTTTTGTACAAAGTTTTTTCTTAAACTGTATAATTTTGTAAATATTTTGCTTTTTTGTGTACTAAAACTACCAGCGTATAGATTTCAATAAGAATTGTTGTATTTTTGTATTTGGAAAATGAAAATTACAGTGAATAAATGAAGCTGTAAGAAAAATTGCAGTAGCCTTTGACACACGTAGAATGGGATTCCTTTTCATATGGTTTTAGCTCTAAAGTGACACCGGACTGGCACACTGTCTTCAGGGACACTTGCCCTTGCCCAGGCGTGCTGGCTGTTCAAGTTCGGCGAGACAGGAGGGAAGTGAGTGCGGTAGCTTTATTTAATGAATTTTTTTTTTTTTTTAGAACTTCATTTTATTTTTCCCCCCCCCCCCCTTTACAGTACACATTGGCAGGCTTCCATAAATCCTCAAGTGACATCCCAAACATGATTTCCAAACGCTGAGGCACAAAAGTGAGTTGTGCCTCTGAACTGAGCTTGTGTATCGAAAGCGTGCTCTTATATTATTGGCAATTTAAGTGATGGGCAGTAGAGCGGCATCTGACTTCTGGTGTTCAAGGAGGAGGAAAGCTGTTTGAAAGTGACCTTCATTTGGCCAAAGCTTATGGATCTCCCTGTGTTTTAGGGTATAGTAGGCTATATTAAAGTGTGTGGGTGGTTTTGTTTGGGATTTTTGTTTTTCTTTTGTTTTAATAGGTACCATGACAGTACAGCTTACTTCATTTTTATAGCAACACTTTATTGTGAAATTCATGTGTAGTGTACTTGCAGAGAGTACATTAGACAAAATTTATAATCAACAATGTAACGTGTGTACACCAGCCAGCGTATTTACAGGCGATGTGTAATTAGATGTTGCCAGTCTGCACTTAGGGTATAAGCATTGAAAGAGTACGTGATGAGAAAAGAAAGTAACCGTTACGAAGAATTATCTCCCTTTCATTGCTGAATTAACCCAAGCAAAAAGAACAAAACAAACTCAAGTGTTGAAAAGATGAATCTGAAAACAGTTGCCTGCTTATTGTGAAAACAACACTTCTTTTAACAAAATCATGTGAAAAGGAATAAAGTTCCTCTTGGTGTATAGTAAACATGTACTATAGTTTTTACAGATTGTGAACTTGTGTAATAGTATAATAGGAGATATTGTTGAATTTCTAACTGTTTATACATTTAAATTCATATATGTAATGTTTGTTTTATTGATTACGATCTGGATTTCTAAGATGCATGTTGACTTTTTTGCAATAAAGATATACTGTGGAATGGTTCAAGATTTAGAAAAGACAAAATTCTAACTTAAATAAATTGGACAGCAGAACCATTCAAAAAAAATTACAACTATCACAAAAAGAGCGTTATCACTTTTTCTGGGGGGAAGTACATGTGTGAAGGGGGTATTTATTTGTATGGAATGTGTGTGCAAGCTTGTCTTACTTCATAGCAAGGAGAAAAATGTTCAAGTGTGTCGGTGCTCTGAAATAGAACCAATTAAGACAGCTAAATTGGGGGGGAGGCTACAATGGGGGTGGGAGGGATTCCAGTAAAGGCTATTTGACATTTTGGGGAAGGTTCAAAGTTTAACAGAAAATGGAAAATGTTTTATAGACCGTGGTGGGTTCCATGGTCTCTTCTACAGATTTGCAGTATTGCTGGGTTATTGAAAGTAGCGTGTACAAGACATTAAATTATACACATGCAAATTCTAACCCCCTGGCAATTTGGTCTGAAAACTAATTTATTCTGTTACTAGCTTTATTCTCGGTCTTTGCTTCTTTCGCTGATTTCCGTTATTCCCTTCTCTTTCCTGTGTTGTTTTCATGAATGTAAATGTTTGTGATCCAAGTTTTTTAAAAGCCTTTTCAAGAGAAAAAAAAATGCAAAGGCATTCCCGTTTCTTACCTGTATTGTTAGTGTCCTGTGATAAGATTTTTTTTGAAAATAGACTAGGAATTTTACAAAGGTGGGAATTTTTCCTTTTTCCTATCTTCGCTGCACTCATTTTGAGGAATAGGGGCAAGAGAGGAAGGGCCTTGCTAGTGTGTTTAATAACTATTTGTATCGCCATCTCCCTCGCATCCCTTTGTGGTCCTGCAATGTAAATGTTTTAAAACATGAACAGGCTTTTCTGTGTTAAGGAGCCTCTTCATGATAACCCGTGGCTTTTGGACACTTTCTCATTGCCAGTAATTGAACTTTAGAATCTTTCCACAGTCTGCTTTCCTGTCAATAACCACCAAATAATCCTCATTCTGCAAGATGCAATCAAGTCCTTCAAGGAGGCGGAGTCTTGACGTTGAGTAGGAAATGTTTGGCATTCAGTCCAAAATATTTTTTTCTTCCTACGTGATCAAAATTCATTTTAATGGCAAAAGGGAATAAAAAGAACTTGAAAGGGGGCTAGCATTTTTCTGTGTGTGTCTTTAGATTTTTTTTTTTCCCCCCAAGCTGTTTCTAATATCTGAATGTCCCACTAGTAAGGGAGTGCTGTCCAGTACCGTACCGTATGACAGCTCTTCCTACAGCGATGGATCAGAAACTTGCTGGAAGCCACTTTGAAGAAGCAGGATGTGTTAAGTAACTATTTTAACTGAACAAATACATGAAGGTGAATTATTGCTATAATTATTAGGCCAAGAATCTCTTTAGTAGCTGCAGCCATAACTCTGGAATACAACAATAACTGTATAGAGAAAGGTTCCCCAAAGATGGAAATGTAATTTTAACTTGTCTCTTGCAATGTGGGACCCGGTTCTGTCTCAGCAGCCCGTGGAGCAGGCTGCGTAACGTCTGTCTGGGTCCTTGCTGACGAGACCACTGACGCGAGCGTGTGGTTGAAAATGGAAACGTAAGTTTGACGTCTCTGAAGCCTTCCATGAGCGCTTCCACTGCCTTTTTCCATGACGGATCTACAACTGTGATGATCAAAATGTAAATGGAATAGCTAGAGCTTTTGCTCTCTCTTTCTCCCCAGGATCGTTCCGCAGACAACTTCCAGTTGCTGCCTGTTTTCAGGTAGGTTGATCCGTGCTAGATCCTGGAGGCGTGGAGCCAGGCGTGGAGAACCGCTGCAGGGCCGACAGCGAGGAGGCTGGGGCCAGGTCAGGCGGTGGGAACAGTGTCTGGTCTGGAAGGACAAAACGAGCCTTTAAGGGGCACTTGAACCTCCACTGGGAGGGCCTTTGTTCAGTTTTAGGAGATAAATACAAGAATTGGTGAAAAGTTCCTCCAGCCTACGCTAATTTAGCGTTTTAAAGGCTACCCTGTAGCAGGCAGAAGGATGCAGGGATCCTTCCCGAGCGGGGATCTCCGCACCTCTGCTCCTTGGGGCATCAGCATTGCTTCAGCATCTCGCAGATTTTCTTGCCATTTGGAGACGGGTTTCATTGAAAGGTAAAAGCATCAGATCCAAAGTTACCTAATTTTTTTTTTTTTTTAAATTTGAAATCTGCATCTTTAGGAATCTGCGTATTTTAAGTATCTGACCTGTATTACCTAAGCAAAGATTTTCACATCACTCGGCTCAAAGGCAGAATGCCGGGTGAGGTGACCGGAATGTCGC